ACAGTTTGGCGAGTGTGATTGAAAGTCAAAGTCAACTTGTCAATCATCTCAGAAGCATTTTTGCTAGCATTGTCCATGACCGTCATCCTGGCACTCTGCTCACTCGTGATGGACTCCTTGAGAGAATAGCAGATGATGCTGGCCAGATTGTGTTCTTAGTAGTTCTGCAGCACGTCAGCATCAATATCATCATAGATACTCATGCTCTCAGAACTCGCAGTTAAGGGAAAAAAATGGGCTTTTCTCCTGTCTAGTAGGAGATGACAGACCTGAATTGATTAAAGATGATAGAGCCTTCATCAAATTCATATCCAGAATTTAGTAATTCTAGGGCAATGACCGACGTATCTCCAAAAGTAGGGGGTTTTCTTCCTACTTCTTTGAATGTCACCAGAAACTGGTCAGAATAAGTCCTATGAAGTATGCCCCTAATTTTATCACTAACTCCAACAATGTTAACTTCTTTCCCAGCTGCTGTGAGTGTAGCCACCTCATTTTTCATCTGTTTAGTGATGGAGGAGTGGATAGTGCTGCAAAGCCCTCTGTCTGAGGACACCCCGATCAGGGGGTGTTTCTTCTTATATTCGGGCACCTTAGTGTCAGCTCTTTCATACAGAGCCAAAGATCCTTTTCCATACACACGAGCTGATTTCAGCTCCCTCTCAGCTCGGGCATATTTTGCTGCTGCTACCATTTTCATAGACTTGGTAATTTTCTGGATGTTTTTGATTGACTTTAGTCGCCTGGTAATATCTTTCAAAGTTGCCATATTTCAAACTTGGATCCATTGTGGCTGCATGGCCCAGGCTAAGACCCCAGCGACACCCACCTGAGAAAACATGGTGCTATCGGCCCTGCTGAAGGTCTCTCAGACATCCCAAACACTTTTAAATAGAATCTGGGATCACAGCAAGAAAATTTCATTTATCTCTCAAAAGTGTCTCTGACCATCTAGGGGAAATATGCTCATTCCTCTTTATTTTCCAGTTCCTGGGTAGACCCTGTTGCCAGTTGTAGTGAGGAGAGGTGATATAGCAGCCAAGATTGTTGGCATCATTTGCTCCCTCTTCAGCAAGTGCTCTATTAATGCTTACTCTGCCATATGATGTACCAGGAACTGTGTACAGAGTGATAGAAATAGTCCCTGTCCTCAGGGAGCATACAGTCTAATCAAATCCTCTTCTCCAAAGCCCTTAGGCCTCCAGGCTTGGTACTCACCTGAGGAGTCTTGGTTTCCCCACTAAAAATTGGATAGAGTTAAGGCCATCTTTTCCCCAAATCAGGCTCATAGGCTTAAAACTCTAATGACCCCAAGCTGTGTGAGTTATAAACCCAGTTGCCCAAGCAAAAAATTTCTGTCAACTTTGACACTCTCAAGCTTTTCCTTAACCTCGAACATCCTAAACCTTTCTCTCTCACACTCCCTCTTAAATATCCCTTCACTCATTCTCTCCATCTCCTCTAGCCCTGTCTTACTTCAGTATCTCTCACCTAGTCCCTAACTAGCCTCCCTGCTTCCTCTCCTAACACCCCTTACCCGTTTGTCCTTCCCACTGTGCCTCACTGATGCTGGGGTTACCTTCCTAAAATATGAAACTGTTCATGTTGTATTCTGCTAATAAATTGTCAGTAGGGCCCTAACGTCCTGGCCTGGGGCTTTCATGGCTGCCCAAGCCTGTCTGACTCATCTCATTTCCTGTTCTTCTCTGCAAGACTCTGGCCATTGTCTTTTCATGTGGATGCCCTTTGCACCTTGTCTTTCATATGAACTCATATTTTTGCTACAGTACTGAGCAGCTGGCCACTCCATTCTCCATCTTTCTTTGTCATTTCGTATATATGTATGTGTATAGATAGGTAGATAGACATTTTATTAATGTTTACATGTCTATCCTCCTTACAGTGGCTTCTTGAAAGAGAGGCAGTGTATTTTCTGTTTATATATCCATGGTGTTGTAACTACATTTCATAGGTCCTTAAATAAGTTTGTTTTTTTTTTTAGTGAATGAACGAATGAACGAATGACCCTAAAATATATCAGTTTGCCATAGGGTTTTCACAGGCTGCTTCCAATCACTTACTTTAATGAAACAAATATGGCACTCCATAATCAACTTGCAATTTTCTAGGACATCTAGGTACCATCAAGTACCAAAGATTATCTCAGCAAAATTGAGATTGGGAGGGTCCTTTTATATCTTAATGGTCGTTTCTCACCAACTCTGAAAGCTAAAGTGTTCTACAGCCGTAAAAAGTTCTAAAGCCTGTAGCATTCACCTACTGCGAAAAAGCTATGCCTTTATATGTTATCTTTTTATATTACTCCTTTTAAAGATTCCTGAGGATACATTTTCCGACAAGCATTTGTTAGATGGCTAACTGAGGTGTTGGGGACCTGGCTCCGGAGCACCCAGGTGTTTCTCATCCCAGGGCTCCTGTGCCGCCTTAGAACT